AACTCTGAGAAAACGCCCCCAGTCCATAGCTTAAGCTGCAAAAAGCCCCAACGCTCAATCCTAAAACGCTTCACCATAAAACCCTGAAGCCCTAAAACACTGAGGCCCTGAACTTTGAACCTTAACAACCTGAACCTTTAAAAACCGCCACACAGTTAACCCGAAACCGCCGGCCGGAGAACGGCGGAAACCTGGGACCCCGGCCCAAGCAACTCTCGCAGAGCCGCTTCCATGACAACCTCGCCATAAGAAGCTGGGGTTCTTTTTGCTACGGGATAAAGGCTGTCTAGATGTTCAAGGCTCAGACTTCTCTAGTTCTAAGCGTAAAGTTTATGTATGAGGCTCTGGGGGTCAGGATCTTAAGCTTACGGGCTTGGCTCGGACATTTAGGATATGGGATCCTGGGGGTCCGGAATTAGGATTTAAGGTTTAGGGTTTAGGTCGAGTTTGGGCTAGAGGCTCAAATTCTGACTGAAGCGGCTGCGCTGTTGGAGGGGCTTTGTGGGCAAAGAAGGGCTTGCAAGCTTCGGGCAGAAACGAAGAAACTCAGGATGCTTACCTAAATCGTGGTTTGACAACCGGAATTCGCGGATTGGCGGCTTGGGAGTATCCATCCGAAACCCCTGGCCCAATGTGCTTCCAAGCAACATCGGCGGCTCGATTTGTGGGTTTTGTATGTATGCACGCATGCAAAAAGTGTATGCCCGTGGGCGGGGGATCTGATGTGGGGTGCCCGTGGGCCGGGTTCTCAGATGACAAGCGTCGAGAGTAAAGCACGCAGACCCCAGGACCCATCACACGCCTCTTCGGTCTGTGCGTGTGATGTCCACTCGGACTCAGACTTCACTGGAGGGCGACGTTCGAGAGGATCGTGAGTGTGGGTTGTTTTCGGGAGTCAGTCCCTGAGGCTTTAACACGATGCATCGAACTCGTGTTTTCAGAAACCTTGGCCTGTCAAGGCCTCCGCAAACTGAGCTCGAGCAAAACGCCCCCATCGATTTCAAACGTCAACAGTATCTTGTCATGTCAGTGTCAACCTGGGTGTGCCTTTCACCCAGTTGCTGCAACCCTCGGCGTTTGCTTTCGTCATGCCAATAGGCTTGGCCCGAGCTGAGTAACTTTTCACCCACCCTGCGTGGTCTCTATGCATCGCAAATCTGCATGCACCGTTTCCCTGAACTGGCTCGGAGTGACACTGTACCGCAAAGCTTGCGTCGTCCTCCAAAATGAGAACGTATTCAGAGCTGTGGGCAAAAGCAATTTCGGTTGCTGCCTGGGCTGCCAGGTTCAAATGAGCACATGGTGATGCGACTCAGTTCTACTGGGTCACCTGGTGGTGCGCAGTTCCATCGCCAGACCACACATGACAACAAACGCATTCAAACAAGTTCCAAAAGATCCCTGGCGCGATGCTCTTGCTCCAGCTACTTTCATATCGGTGGCGGATGTCGATGAAGGGGCAGACCGGTAGAGTCCGATAGAGATACACGGTGGAATGCTGCGCACATCCAGCAGCTTCATCGGCTCTAAGGCTAAGACAGAGTGCTCTCGAGTAGCCGCCAGGTCTCTCGTCTTCATCATTCTCCGGCGCATGTTGCGTAGGACCACTCAATGTAGTGTCTGGCCTGACAGATATTTGGCTGCAATCCACGCCTTTCGCAGCTTCTCCTGCGACCGGGGCCGCCGTGGACCCGTGATGATCAAGGCCGCATCCTGGACAACTTGAATGATGACAGCTCGCTCCTCCTTCCTTGAGCCTTGAGCGTGAAGGTTGCGATTTCGCCGAAGTTCACGCCGCAAAGCACCCGAGCATCTCCTGGTTTGGCCTCCGAGCGATTCCTGTATTGCAAGCACATGACCGGTGAGCCGGGAGCCTTCGCGAAGGCAAGCCAAAAAGAGGGGCCGGGAAGTCGGCTGTGAATGAAAGCCCTTGGAGAGGCCTGGAGTGGACACTCCGCTCGGCGATTCCTCGGCTTGACGCTGGTCAGGCTCCCATGACCGCCTTCTATTTAGCTGCTTTAGCTGGCCCAGGACCGGCATTGCTCGGAACAGCAACTATGATCGCGGCGGGCCCCACTTCAGCCAAAAGGCTTGAGGGTTTTGGGTGTTGGATTTTGGGCGTGCTGGCTTCACAGTTTTGGGTGTTGGGTTTATGGTTGGGTCTTCGGTGTTGGGTTTAGGGTTTAGGCAATAACCAGGCTCCTCCCATACTCCCGAAAATGCCCAGGTTTCAATTATGTCGTCAGCTGTACACCACCCAAAGCGTTAGGATTTACAAGCCCCAGCCCATAAGAGAACCAGAAGGTTTGGGGTTGTAGGGTTGTGAATGTTAGGTTTATAGGAGTTAGGGTTTAGGGTTTAGGGTAACCGGGCTTCAGGATATTAGAACACCAGGGCCCTAAACCCGAAATCCCTTGACTCTAAACCCGGCCGCGCCTAAATCTTCGCAGCTGCCGGCCAGCGCTGAGAGACGCTTTCCAACGATTCGGGTGCTTTTCAACTACCAGAAACACTGAACTAAACCCCCTTCATACGTTTCTTATACGGGCCTATGCAGAGTTCGTAGATGCAGGGTGAACAGGGTTAGAGACCAGAAGCTCGAAAGCTAAAGCCCTCAACCCGAATTTAAGCCAGAGGTCCAGGCTGCCCATAAGTATTGCACACATATGTTAGCACGTTTGCCTGATATTTGGAATAGCTCGGCCGGCGTCGACAAGGTCCCAAATTAGAAAAAAGCTCGCTGCTCTTTCTGCTTTAGGAAAGGGCTTAGTCATCATAGTGACCGTACAGCTGAAAACTACCAGTCAGCATAATCACACTGTCATGTGCCGGGTCCTGAGCCAGAGACCAGAATACTAACACAAAGACTACGACGCCAGTCTCTGCACCTCCCTCAGCCCTAGAAACCCTAAACCCCTGATCCCGGTGCGCTCTGAGCCAAGCCTGTCACATGCATCGTGTACGTCTGTGGGTGCCTGGGGCCTGCAGGTCGGGTTTCCCCCTCTAACGCACGGGCTCGGGTTTGGGGTTTAGGGTTTGGGGTGTAGGGGTCAGGGTTGCCTAAACCCTAAACCCTGAACCCGAACCCTAAACCCTAAACCCTGATCCCTAAACCCTACGAAGGCCTGTAATCTAGGGGCCTTAATAATTGGAATAAGGTTTTGGGGGAGAGAGAGAGAGATATATATATATATATATATATTTATTTATTTGTTTATTGATTTATATTTATATATATATATACACATTAAAATTTTACCATAATCATAATAACGAGCCGCCCAAAATACTGTTGGTAATGATTTAGGCTTCTTTCTATCTTGATTCCTTCAGAACACCTTATCAGCTGGAATCTGCGGATGCCCACCGAAAGCTCCTGAGCTGTAGTCGATTTAGGCTATAGGCTTAGGGTTTAGAGTTAAGTTTAGAGCATTACCTTCTGCATGTGAATGGCTGACTTCTGACTGCATGAGAATGTATAGCGCGTTCCATCCATCTCATCTTCACCCAGCCTTGGCCTTTCGGACAGCTACGCTTTAGGGGTTTAGGTTTTCGGGTTTCGGAAGACGTTGGGTCCAAAATCTGCAGCCATTTTGTCGCATGCGCGGCGCCAAACCTTGTCGCGCTGCCTGTCGCAACGCGATGCTGAGGCAGACGGGCTGCAGCTCCAACCTATGACCGAACCCTTGAATCTTGAACGCCAACACTGGTTCCTGGTCGGGGATATTTTAAAAATGATCATATTTTGACACCTTATTGGGTTGAATTATATCAAAAATGTAAAATTGTATTCAACAAGGACCCAGAACCAGTTTAGATAGGGTTTCACGCTGGAGGGTTTCGGGTGTCGGGGTTTGCGTCTACGGTTCAGGCGGGCCAGGTGCTGGCATGAACTTTGAGAGCTTACGCGGGCTATAGTTTTGGGGTAGAGCTTGAGGCTTCAAGGCTTGGGCGTGACATCTGAGGGTTGAGGGTGTGGGGGCTAAAAAGCTTCGCGCTTTGAGTGTAAAGGGTCTGTGGCTTTCGGGTTGTAAGGCTTCGGGTGTCGAGTGGGCGCGTGTGTTTGTATCGGGGGGTTCGGGGAAAGGAGTTTGCAGGGCCCAAAGCATTGGACAAGTGATTTTTGTCAAAAATGAACAAAATAATAAACCTATACCCCAAGCCCGACCACAGAATCCAGAAATTACCGAGTAGCACAGCCTCTGAATCTAGCCAGCTTTCTGGGAGCTTGCTACCTCTTCGTCTCAGGCGCATGGCCAGGGATAGGCCGGTGAAACACTACAGTGACTACAGAGCTTAGGGGGACTACAGAGCTTAGGGGGACTACAGAGCTTAGGGGCAGACAGCCCGAAAGCCTATAGGGTTTAGGGTTTATGGGGTTTGGGGTTTAGGGTTTAGGGTTTAGGGTTTGGGGTTTAGGGTTTAGGGTTTAGGGTTCATAGGTTCAGGTGTTGGATGTTCGAGCACTTCATGCTCGAACTAGGAAGGCAGTATGCTGGAAGGGTGCTGCTCATAGCCAAGACGGCTATGGGCCTCAAGGCTCAACTGATAATAAAACACGAAGTACAAAACAGCAACAAATAACAAGAACTAAGAGTATTGTTGCGCTAAAATACTTAATAGTGCTATAACAAATGACAATAATCGCATGCATGGCTTGTCTTGTAGATGTCGGTAGGAGAGTGGTGGGGCTTCTGGGTGAAGGGAGGAGGGGGGATCCTTTAGGTGGGCACATGAACAACCCTCCTAGGTTCCCTGGTAGCCTCTTAATGATCAGGATGCCCCTTTTTCCTACACTCTTCGCCTCTAGGCAGGAACCACCAAAATAAAAAATAAAAAAAAAGGACTAAAGGGTACTACTAGGAGACCTAGTCCTACTTCCCAACCCCCCCCTCCCCAATCCTCCAAGTAAGCTTGAAGACTTCCTGTTCGCTTTGCATGGTCGTGGTTTCGGGGCCAACCGCCCTTGCACCTGGGTGTCGCAAGCGTCTGCCCCGTCATCACGCAGTCTTCCTGACAGAGTGGGAGAGCTCACCGACGAAACTCTTCCATGCTAAACCCCTATCCCTGAACCCGGGGCGTTCATGCGGGACCCAAGACAACAACATCTCGAACCCCGAGCAACATCGAGAAGCCGATCAGCCAAGCTTTTGCAGTTCTTGGGAACCTTTTCCTCTCACTACCCTGCATCCTAGACCCTAAACCCAACCCTAAACCCTAAACCCTGAACACTAACACTAAACCCTGAACCCTAAAGCCTAAACCCTGAGCCCTAAACCCTAAACCCTGAACCCTAAACCCTGAACCTGAACCCTAAACCCTGAACCTGGACCACTGAATTCCGAGAAACGCCGTCAAAAACTTCTTTAAAGCTCCTGTGTGGCCGCCCGGCGTGTTGATTCGCATGGTGGGCCTCCGAGCGAGCATCCCGTATCCACGGAGTCTGTAGGGATACTCTAGGTTTAGGGTTTAAGGTTTAGGGTTTAGGCATAGGGGTATACTGTACACTGTGCACCCAAATCTCGAAACCCAAAACCACACATGCCCTGCGAAACAGGACTTCCACTCACGGGCAGAGTTGCAATGCTCACGGCATGGGACACTCAAGGCCCTGAGAGAGCCTAAAGCCTGAGCCATAAAACCTAAGTGTTCAAGCAAGTAACCCTACATGCCGAAACACCTCAACAATCGTGTCAAAGCCAAGGAGACAACACAAACAGTGTGAATTTCTCACCGTAAACCTGTTGGTGTGGCATGCAGAATGATATCAACCGCCAAAATAGCTGTCTGAAAGAGAGACAGTCGTAAGTATCGCAAGTCGACATGCCATTGCCATTGTGATTCTCTGCAGGGACTGCAAGGGTTGAGCTGTGCGCATTGCGCTCACATTACGAAACAGAGCGCTCATCGGTTGAAGATGAGTCACTTACGGTACATTTGACCTTGTCGGCTTGCCTCGTGCATCGCTACTACGTTTTACATGCCTGGCAGCTTTCTACACCAATATGATGCATGCACCTCAGGGCCTTAATGATTAGAGCCGGGTTTCGGGTACATAATGATCAAGCATATTGCAGCATATTCAGGCCTGTAGTAAGCACGCATGCCTGCACATCGCGAAGATGGTACTGACTCAGCCTATCGAACTGGTTTTGGTTCTTAATCTACTGCTTTGCTCTCGGCATCGGGATGCAACCCAAAGTCAAGGGAACGCAACAGGACACCCAGAGTTCACCTCTCCGTACCCTAATACCTAAACCCTAATTCCGTACCATCTCCAACAGCATCGCTTGCGCCTGCACGTCGTGTCCTGCAGTGCAGGCAACTGGGCCAATCGCCCAGCTACAACAACTGGGGAGTTAGGTGCCCGTTGCCTTTAGCCGCGATAGCGGCTGGTATGCGTTAGAGTCAAAGCTTACGGTTAATCAGCACCGAAGATTTCGGATAGAGGTACTACGGTGCAGGTGGCCACGTCTACATATGTATACATATATATATATTCTTTATTTATTTATTGATATTTGTTTTTTGTTGAACTCGTTGTCATTGTTGGTCTTCTGGACATGCTGAATACACGTATGCTCATGACTATGGTTTGCTGCTACAAGCCCTACTACCATTAGTTTTCTGCTAGTGCCTGTGCCGCGAATATGTATTGGTGACTAATGCTGCTCCCATTTCTGCATAACCCTTAACTGCAATGCCACTGCTACGATTCTACTACTCCTGTCCTCAATACCAGAACTGCTACTTAGCACCGCCACTCTTGCCAGCCAATACTAGTCTGGCCGGTGGCACTGATTCTGCGATGATGCTACATATTACTACTTAGCACTTCTCAACGACGACTACGGCTTTGACTACGACCAAGAGTGCCACCATAGCTACTGCTACTACTGCTACTACTACTACTACTACTACTACAGCGCTTGATGTTACTGAAGCCACCATTGCCGTGTCAGATGCACTTACTAGGGTTACCATGATCACTGCGACTGCTATTCCCTCGAAGAAGGCCTCAAGATCACGCAGACGAGGAGATTACTGTGGCGGGGAAACCACAATCAAGTCAGAGCACGCTCCACGAGGTCACAGGTCGAATTCAAGGGAAAGTTCTGAATAAACATTAAAAAAACCCGCGACTTAGCACCTTAATCCTCAATCTTACTTCCTCAGCGGACAACGGGAATGCTAAAATGTGGGCAGACTCCAATTAAAAGGAAAGGTAAAAGCATAAATGAAGCACAGGAAACCAGAAGTAACAAGCATCCCATTCTTCTGCTCGTATTGCTCTCCTTCTTGGTGGCTGTGTTGGTGGCCAGACCTGCGTAAGAATGTGTCGGGCTCCATAGGGGTTCAGCGGCTTTGGTTTCAAGGTTTAGGCAATAGTATACACTTCTCCGCCACCCCAAGCTGCTCTGAAAAACGAAGCAAAACACTAAGTAAAAGATCGATTTTGTGCATACTGTAATACATGAACAAATATGTAAATAAACACAGAAACTAGTGTCTATGCGTGAGACAGAGAGAGAGAGAGAGAGTGTGTGTGTGTGTGTGTATGTAAAAATATATATATATATACACATCTGTAAATATATGTGGGTGTAAGGTTATAACTGCATATTTGTAGGTGTCTACATGTTTACGTATATCTATATATACAGGTATAGATATAGATATATAGATATAGATAGCGATATCGGTATAGATATAGACATGGACATGAACAAGCAGATACATATACAGATAGAGATACAGATAGAGATAGAGACGTGCTCTGCTCAATACACACCTGTGTAAAGCAAGGGTACCCAGTTATTGGATAGTTAGACGATGTTGTAGCATGGATACTTCACTGATTAGCAATTGCAGCGGTCGACTATGCTTTCAACTTTTGGAAATCCCTAAATCCTAAACCCTAAACTTTCTATAAACCCTACCCGCAGCCCACCACCCTACTGAACTGCTATCTCTTGAAGATCCAATTTCGTCCGTTGGGTAGTTTGTTGGTCTAAACTCCGTAAAATACTAACCCTAAACCTAAACCCCTAAACCCCAACCCTGAACCTCTAAACCCTAAACCCATCCGATGTTGGATCCTCCAGAAGCTCGTCAGTCTTATACTGCGGGGACTTGACTTAGAAAGCCACGAGTATATACCCCCCCAAACCCCACTGGCGCCATCCGCAATGGTATGATATAATATGATATAGTAGTATTTAAACGCACGGAACCCATTACAAGAACATGCTATATCACACAAAAACAATGTAATTCAACATGAGATGATATGGCTTATGTAATATGATATAACGAAACATGACAAAACATCAAAATACAATGCAATAAAACACAAGGTAGCATAGTATAGCAACACAAAATACACTACGATACGATACCACAGATTTTAGAACAATGCAACACAACAAAACACAAAAATGCAATTAACATATAATACGACATAACACAATATAACATAATGTAGCAAACAGAATACACTACGATACAATGCAACAAATTCTAGTACAATATGATAGAATATAATACAATATACTACAATATTAAAACGGTATATCACACAATATAATACAAGAAAACACATACAAATTCAACATGTAATACAATATAGTATAACATAGAATAATAGCAGACAATATAATGTCATACATACATAATGTCATATAATAGCATAGCATGATATATACTATACTGTCGTATACAATGCAATAAACATCATACAACATGGTACGATATAACATAATATTGCATAACATAACATAATGCGATGCAAAGCCGACACCACATATCCGCATATAAAATAGCAATATGTCTATATATATATATATAGTATGATAGATTACAGTACAGTACAACACAGAGTAAACACTATACTGAATGGAAAGGACAGGTTATAATAGAAGAGAAAAGAAGACACTAGCTAGAATTTAAACTGTTGAAACGAAAAAGTACCATATGCTTCTGCACTGAGTGTGGTGTCTGATGTCGGGCTCAAGTTTAAAGTTCAGGGTGTGGCTCCTGCCTGAGGGTTTGAAGGTTCAGCCTTTACAGGTTTACTGTTTAGGCTTTAGGGCTCTCGAGATGTATGCTTTTTGAGAAACATGCCATGTTAGCGCTTACCTCTTGAAGCTGAGGGTGAGGCTTTGCACCTCGGTGTCTCAGGTTTAGTTTGCAATGTCAGGGTCTGAGGCAAGGGTGTCTACTTGAAGGGTCTTGGATAAGGAATTTGCTGAGCAAGCAGAAGTTGAGCATTTGTCGGGTGTAGGCTGCGATTTCTGTTGCAGTCTGGGAGTATGGATACAGTTGCGACTTTGAGTCTGGGGGTGAGCTTTCAAGCTTGATGTTTTGGGTTTTGGCAGCTGGGAAATGGAAGGCTGTAGAGTCGCATTGGCTTTTGGGTGGTTTGGTATGTGCTAAGCCCTATTCATCCCTCAAGCTTAAGCCCTAAACCCAACCCAAACACCCTGGACCCAAACCCTCGCAACCCATGTAATCCTTCATCTCTAGTCGAATCCAACCCACTATGTTCTCACAGACTCCCATCTCTGAGTAGCGCCTGCCAAACTTTGTCCCTTTCTGGCCCCTTGCTAAGGCCTTGTTGGGCGATGTTGGTGCTTGTGGAGGCTCTTCCCGGTGCCGGCAGTGGACCTGCATAAGTCTCATGTTTAGGATTTCGAGTTTAGGGCTTTGGGTTTAGGGTTTAGGGTTTGGCGTTGAGCATCGGGCCGTCAGACGGAGCATAAGGCTTCTGGGGCATCTTGCACTCCCCCGAAACCCTAAACCCTAATCCCTACGGTTAGCCACAGGAAAGATTCAAATTTCAGACCTCTACACTGCCAGGTCGACTTGGAAGGGGGTATATTAAACCCTAAACCCTAAACCCTAAACTAGAACTACATTGGGGACAAAAAAAAGGGGGCTACTGAGGCCTGTAAAGGGCTACTTTCAGGGTTGCTGCAAGGGGTACTTTGAGGGTTCTGTAGAGAGGCCTTAATAATTTCAGTAGGGCTCTTGGGAGTATGTCATACCGTGCGCAAAACAGGAACCAGGTTTCGGAATACGGGTTGAGGGTTTAGGGGTTTAGGCCCTAAGACCAAGACGTTTGGAGCTTAAGATGGTCGTTGTTGCCTCTTTGCTTCGTCGTGGTTGCTTCTTGTAGTTCGGTGCGGTTGGATTCTCGCTTTAGACATCCATGAAGTCAAGATTTCACACTTGAAGGCGTCAACCCAACGTCTGCGCCCCCGACCGCAAAAAAGAACAGCAGCCTGTTTCAGCCTTGGGTCACGGAGATAAGAACCATCGTTTGCCACGGGTTGATGCTGCTAACATGGGAATGATGATCCCGATGAACACTCTGGTGGTGATGATGGCAGCCACGGTTGTGACGAAATGATGATGCCCAAGCTTTGCACATGTACATTTGAGTTCAGCAAAGCTAAACCCTAGATCCCTATACCCTAACACCCTACACCCGGAACTCCTAAATCCTCAATCCCCAAACACCTAAACTCTAAACCCCAAACCGTACCCAATAGCTCCATCTGGGGCTCCGGCGCTTTGTTCACCGCCTGGGCCTCACTTGTCAGAAAATGCTGCCCTAAAGGACCACTTTTAGGGTTTGGGGGTTAGTGTTTAGGGTTTAGAGCTTAGGGTTTAGGGTTTAGGGCTTCGGGTTGAGGGTTTAGGGGGGGTTTACGACGTTTCAAGTTTGGGCAGGCTGGATGCCCGAAGCTCGTCAGAGCCCGCAAGCGACCCAGGGAAACCGCCAAAATAATGTGCTACAAGGGTTCCTACTGGGATCATGTAGAGGTTACGAAAACTCTCTATATGGGTAGTTCTCTAGATTAGGATCCCTTTTCAGATGCCCAATATAGTACGGCACCCTTATAAAAAGGGACCCTAAAAGGGACCCTGTTTGAGAAAACTACCCATATTACATGGTGGGGTCATGTGGGGGATGTTCGGCTCAGGGGCCTTGCAGTCCCTCAAAATACCTTACGGCCCAAAAAGGCCAAAGGGGGGAGACCTTCGTCCCCTGGAAGAGCTGGGTTGTAGCTCCAACAGCTGGATTGCTCATCGCCATCTCTCTGGTGGCTGAGCCATTCCAGCCAACAGGCAAAGAGCTTAAGTGTGCGATCTACAACAGGGGTTGCGGGCCTCTTTATAATATAATTGTATTAAGGAACCCTAATAGTATTGGTAATTTTTTGGGCTTCCCTAATGCGGGATTGCAACGAAAAACATCGTGCAATGATGCTCTCAAGATATCCGGCTTTCCCGGTTGCTACAAGAATTCAACAGAATTCAACTGCCGCTGTCGTTGCGATCAGCTCGTGCGGCTAAGCTCGTCACTGCCGTGCTTCTGGAGTTTGTCCGATCAGGGATGCGAAATTATATTGTCTACAGCAGCACCACAAGATGCGTCGAAAATCCCAACACCTTCAACCGAACCTCTAATAGCCCAAAACGAAACCCTAAACCGAAAACCCTGAAAACTGCACCCTCAGCCGCAAAATCAAAGAGTCCCTGAGGCCTAAAATCCTAGGCCCTGAAAACGTAGACCTTCTCAAGACATGCAGCCTTTGCTTCCATCAGAGAGCCCTGTCCACTCGTCTTCTCGTCGTCCTGCAAAGTCGCAGGACAAGGTCACGGCTTCGGGGGATACATTCAGCCATGTAGCAAGTTGGAAAGTTTGGCACAACACCCAAAAAAAAAACCTTTTAGCCAATCCTCCATCTCTGAAAACCCTTTCAGGGTTTCGGGTCTCGGGTTCAGGGTTTAGGTTGAACCCTAAACCCCCAAATCCTGAACCCTGAACCCTAAACGCCTAAACCCAAAATACTAAACCCTAAAGCCCGGGTCCATGTATCCTACACTTCTTCTCCCTGGGTTGCCGGGCCGAAATCCCAAACCCCTGCACGCGAAGGGACTGGGCCCCAAATCCCACATGACAAGAATGGTAATGATAATGATGATAACAACATAATAGTAAGTACTCATACTAATACGAATACTAATACCAATACTACTGACAACGATAGTAGTAATGGATGTGATATTAAGACTAACAATAGAAGCCGTAGTAGCAATGCTGATACCATTGTAACGATGACAAAAAAGTGATTGTAGTGATACTAATCGTACCCCGAACCCTAAATCCTAAACCCTAAACCCCCAAACCCCTATCCTTTGAACCCAAAGCACCCGAAACCTCACCTCATCCTCCTCGTCTTCGGACCTCAGCTCGAGCTTTCTCTGGTAACTCTGGGGCTTAGGGTTTAGGGTTTAGGGTTTAGGTGTTTAGGGGTTTAGGGCTTAGGGCTTAGGGCTTAGGGGTTTAGGGCGTAGGGTCTTGGGTTAGTACTCGAAAGAAACCTTACTTCAGCATACAAACGAATTACGCTCTCCAAACGGACACAGAAATAGCAGCACAGATGGCTCAAACGTATGTACTATGTCAGACTATGTGTGTAAGTTCGTTTGTATGCATGCATGCATCTTTGCACGTATTTATGTCAGTTCCTTAATGTTGAGGATTTTGCGTCTCGAACCTAGCGTTTATTGTCCGGTAGTCGGGACACACCTGAGAGACAGCGCCTGTCCGCACACTTTCAGCCCTATGCAACCCCACTCTAGTTCTGTCGGTCCGACTATGTGTCGTTCCCAAAATTATTGCCAATTCTGTTGGCATCCCCACACAGGATGAAGTCACTCTTACAACAGGGACATCAAACCAAAAAGAGGGGGGGGGGCTTCCGGTGAACCCCAGCGCTTCGGTTTCATGCTATATCAAGGATGCTTAGGGAAGTGGGGCTTGCTACCCCGTAGGTTCAAAATACCTAACTAACAAGTAGGTACTCGGGTTTGGCGTAGGGCGCGTGGGTGTTCGTTGAAGGTCTGAAGGTATATTGTGATTAGGGGCTTGGACCCCTGGGTTTACCCACTGCTCACGGAAGAGAGAACGATTGGGGCTTCAAGGATTTGGGCTGGGGGGTTTTTTTATACTGGTTAGGCTGTGATGGCATGGGGACTTTCAGGGAAGATTATCACCACTTCCCTCCACCCTAACCCCTAAACCCTAAACCCTAAACCTTAAACCCTAAACCCTAAACCCTAAACCCCTAAGCCCTAAACCCTCAACTCCTATCTTAGACCTGCCGGCCGGCTGCTTTGCAGCGCTTTGGCTCTTCTTCTCCTGGCGGCGCGCGACATCAGGGCCGCTGGAGTCTTCTGATTTTGGGATGGACCCCTGGGACCTAGGCTTCTCAGCTTCAGGATCTAGGGTTCAGGGTTTAGCGTTCAAAGTTTCGGCTGTAGGTCTTCAGTTATGAGCTCGCGGCAGAGAATCCTAAGCTTCGCATGTGCAGCTTGGGGTTTGCGTTGGATGTAGGTTCCCTCCTCATGTTGGCTGAGCAGCCCTTAACTCGAAACTGCTGCAACCATTTAGGGTGTGGGCCGGTTTGCTAGGGTTCGGGACAAGGGGTTTTCAGGGGGCTTCGGAGCTTGGGGCGCCTGGGTCGCAGCTTTAGGGTTGAGGCTTACAAAGGCTTGTGGCTTTCGGTTTAGGGTTTAGGGTTTAGGGTTTAGGGTGGGTTTAGGGTTTAGGGTTCAGAGTTTTAGGGGGAACTCGCGACAGTCTAAAGAACCCTTATAATAGCAAACCTAAACCCTAAACCCTAAACCCTAACCCTTTTTTTAAACCCTTAAGGAAGCCTAAGGTTGACTTCAGCACTCCAACGAGCCATCGGAAGTAAGCCAGAGGAGCGGAGAAGCAAAACTAAAAAAAAAATCACCAGAAAGACCAACGCCCTTTTTAAGGGGGTTCCTTTACAGGGTTGTAGGGCCTGTAGGGTTTAGGGGTTAGGGTTGAGGGCTTTACGGCAAACTTGGGCATATGAAACCGTCAACAACTCGAAATCCAAACCTGCCTTGAATCCTCTACTCTTCTCCAAGACGCAAAGCCCAAACCGACTCCCCCAATTTCCTAGAACCTGCGGCGTTGGCCGGGTCTGCCAGAGTCCAAAGGCTTTGGGGCTGTCGGGCCTTGGAGGCTTTAGGGCCGTTGAGGGCTGAATGTTTGGAGTGGTTCAGGGTTTAGGGTCTAGGGTTCAGGGTTTAGGGTCTAGGGTTTAGGGTTTAGGGTCTAGGGTTTAGGGTTTAGGGTCTAGGGTTTAGGGTTTAGGGTCTGGGGTTCAGAGTTCAGGGTTTTGGGTTTGGGCAAATGGCTTAGGGCTTAGCGCTTGAAAATGGTTTAGGGTTTTGGGGCACCTTAGACCCTAAGTAATCTGCCCGCAAGCCTGCTTCACCGACTTTGGCGTGGTTTCCGGCTTCCTCGTGGTGGTTGTGGTGGTGGGCAAGGTCGTCGTCACCTCTTCCTGAGAGCGGCGACCCCCAAGCCTCCACTACATTCGTTAATTAGGGTCCCGTTTACGGCCCCTGTAATGATAATAATAATAACAACAATAACAATAATAACAATAATAACAATAATAATAATAATAGAAATAGTACGGGTGCCGTACTGTGTTGGGGACCAAAAAACTTAGAACTGCCCAAATGATTTTCTGGCTCCCTCCTGTTTCGGAGCTTGGGGCTCGTAAAAACCCCTGTTTAAGGTTTCGGATGTAGCCGCGGGGGGGTTTCCCAAACCCCAAAAATTAAACCCATTTCTGGGCCCAGCCCTTCAGATTCAGCCTTCCCTCTCAAGATAGGGGGGTGTAAAGTTGCAGGGGCCTGGGACTTGGAGTTCGGGGGTTCAGGGTTTAGGGTTTAGAGGACTGTAGGGGTTGAGGGGTTTTGGGCTGTAGGGGTTTGGCTAGAACTTGGACTGATGCATATGAAAACCAAGGTGATGGGGGTTCCTGGTGTCTAAGGGGTGTCGAGCTGTCAGAACCGAAATCCTGATTAAGAGGGGTTTAGGGCTTAGGGTCCAGAGTTCAGGGTTCAGGGTTCAGAGTTTAGGGTTTAGGATTTAATTAGGGTAGTTTCAATAAAGTAGAGCGAAGAAAACCTCAGGTGACTGCGGTTTTCGCGACGAAAAGGACGAAGAAACCCCCCAACAACGCTCAACCCCCAAGCCGAAGCCTGGGAATCCTTCATCCCGGGTTTGGGGAATCCTTCACCCCAGGTTTCGGGTTTTGGGTGGTCTGTCCCTGGCGGTTTCCCCGCTACAGCTTTGTGTTCAGGACTTCGGAGGTTGGATTTCGGACCTGAATTTGGATCTTGGGCGAAGCTGGGGGGCAGGGGACCGATGACGACATGGTGATCGCGACATGACGATGGTGACGTGATGATGGCGACATGATGGTCGCGACATTACTGCGGCGACGTGACGATGGCGACATGGTGATCACGACATTACGATGGCGACATGATGATGATGGTGATGATGTTGATCATGATGCTGTCGATGATGATGTCGACGATGATGGTTGAACACGTCCTAACCTTTAATGAACTCTAAACCCCAAAACCGCATAAAACCAAGTCTGTGGGTAAGCTCTGTCTTTCTCGAGGTGTGCGAAGTGCTGCGACACAACATAGAACCACGAAAGTCGGGATTATCTGTTTTTGTCGAGGTGTACGAAGTGCTGTAAATACCAATGAATTCGATGCCCTCTTGCGAATACGCCATGAAACTCAGGGGGTTCGTGATGCTTTCCAGCCTTGCTCCGCACTCCCACAAGACAGAACCTCGAGTAGTTGCATGTTTTCCTTGTTCGCAGGGTGCCTAAGCCTGGCTTTTTAACATCTTCGCGCGTGCACTTCCCAGCTATAAGTATGCGCGAAGACAACATGTTCCGAACAGCATAGCTCTGTTGCGTAACTGCAACATCACTGGTATTTGTGGTACTTTCGAGCTCCTGCAACAACAACTTCTGTTACGCTGCCCCATGGTCTCCGGGAAACCCCCAGGGATTTGCCTTTGGGTTCCGGATTTAGGATTTAGGGTTTAGGGGGACCTTGAATCTGAAAAACTACAAGTCCCAAGCCCCGGACCCTGAACTCGAACCACCCGGATTCCCCGGACGCCCTTGCTCACAAACCCCTCAACCCTAGAAACCCTCAACCCTCAACCCTCGAAACCCTTAGCCCGAAACCCTAGAAACCTTGAACACCTCTTGAGACGCGGGCCGCATCTTCCGTGAAGGACCGGTTGAGGACCTCAAACTGGTCACTTCTGGGATGAAAAATCGCTGAGGGCTTGCTAGAACGGTTCCAAAAAGTGAGAAAAACGAGTGCCTAATCAGAAGAGTTCCTATGAGCGGGCTCTGGGGACACGTTCGGTTTTGAGTTTAGGATCCAGGGTTCTGGATGCGGCTGATTTTCGGATTCCGGTGGTTTAGGTTTAGGGGCCCCTAAACCCTAAACCTTAAACCCTAAACCCAGGGGCACCTGTAGTCCTTTAGTCACTTTTGCTTTTGTTCAGAGCCTCGAGGTGGATCCGAAGGTCGAAAAGAAGTGGCTAGCTTAGGCTTTAGAGTTTAGGGGTTTAGGGGTTAGGGCTTTAGGGGTTTAGGGTTTAGGGTTTAGAGTTTAGGGTTTAGGGTTTTGGGGGTTGGCTTAGAGGGTATCGCTTCTTTATCAAGGACTGAAGGGGGAGCAGCGCACCTTTTTCGGCCTGACGGAAGGCCAGAACAGCTGCATCTGGTCAAATCCATTCCTTGGGAAGTTGCTACCCTACACACTAAACCCCTAAACCCTAAACCCCTAAATCCCTAAACCGTCGGGTTTGGAGGCATCACCACTGGGTTTTAGGGCTGTTAGGCCTGGGGCTGCCTACGCGATGGTCAAGTTCACCTTGTCACATTTAAAAGGTCAAGCGGAAGCCAGACTAACATGAAATGGCAAGCCTTGTTCCAAGACTGTCGGCAAGCTCCTGTGGAGGGGCGACCAAATGGATAGTTGATCCCTTGTGTAGGACAACAACCCGGAAGTTTCAATCTCAAATTCAGAACATCAGCCCCGTGTGAGCGGAAAATAGTCCGAAGAAACCCACACGTAGACCAGTTTTCTGACCTACTGACACAAGCGGCTTAGATCTTAGGGGTTTAACTGCCTCGGCTCCGGAGTAGAGATTTCTCCATATATTTTTGTCGGTAAGCAAACGAAGACGCTCCAACCCCCAACCAATGCCCTCCTACTCCTACCTGACACCCACTGAGCGACAACCACAGCCGCTACACCTTTGAGCATTTCGGGTTTGGGGTCTAGGGTTTTGGTGTTTAGGGTTTAGGGTTTAGGATTTCGGGTTTTGGGTCTAGGGTTTGGACAGTCGCGCGTAGGGTTTGGGCCATCTCCCGCCTTACATCAGGCTGCTTCATCTATGAATTGGTCTGGCTGTCCTCAGTTCAAGAGCGGAGCTCGGCTCGTGAAGTGCGGGGTCAAAGTGCAATTTCGTCCACCTCTCCCATGCCTGACTTGGTCTATTGGAGCCCTGCGATTTTCTAGGCCTGCCTTGCTCTCAAACTGACCTCCTACTAATACATTAGAAATCGCCTACTAAACCAAAATCCACGAAATACTAATCATTTCATAAATTAAAGATCCACTAATTACACATAAATCAAAAACCCAGTAATAAATTTAAAATCCACCCGTAAACGTAGGTTCTAGGAGGACCCGGGTTCAGGAGTTAAGGGGCGGAATTTCGGATCTAGGGTTTAGGGCTTACGGCCAGTAGAGGTTTAGGGCTTAGGGCCATTAGATGGGTTTAGGGCTGAGGGTCTAGATGGGAGATGGGTTTAGGGCTTGGGGCTGTTAGATGGGTGTAGGGCTTGGGGCTTCGAGAGGGGGATCTAGGTTCAGACCATGCTTTTCGACCCACACTTCCGTGAAGACTCGCATTCCAACGGTCCATCTGAGAAGTCTCACATGCTGAACCCTGTTTAGGGTTAGGCCCGAAAACCCCGAGCCTACGCTTGAGGGTTTAGTGTTTAGGGTTTTAGGGTTTTAGGGTTTAGGGTTTAGGGTTTTAGGGTTTAGGGTTTAGCGTTTTAGGGTTTATGGTTTAGGGTTTAGGGTTTAGGGTTTAGGGTTTAGGGGGATCTAGTGAACAAAATCTCGGCAACCCGGCACAACACCTTCGCGTTGAACTCTAAGTGGATGTAAGCATCAGAGACCGGAAGTGGGGGCTGGTCTGTATAACAGCCTATCTCAAGCCTATACCCTAAATTTTTAAACACAAACAAAGACACTAAACTCTCAACCCTAAGTCGAGGCTTGCGCTTCAGAAGGACACCGTCCAGCGAACCCAGAGTACTATAGGGGCCGGAAGAATCAGAATGAAGTTTTGGAATACTGGCAGAAGTCTTTTGGGACTATAAAGCTATACGACTACTAACTGATAAATCAAACCCCTCATATTACATGGCTCTGACGCACTATAGTATATTCGCGAATAACGATCATAGGCGGAGATCCCTAATTCTTCAGGCCCCTATAAGGCTGCATCGAGCAGGTGAAACAGCAGACCCCGACGGAGCTCTAGTGGATTCGAAAGAGTTGAGGAAAGATGATCCCCTAAACCAACTAGGGTACGTTATTTTGGGGTCCTTATAAGAATAAGGATCCTGCTATTTAGGATACAAAATTAGGGCCCCTAAACCCTAAACCCTATACACACCTTAAGGTGATCGTAGGCGCTGTGACAGAGCTGACAGCTGCTGAGCGAAAACTGCTGATGATAAAAGCAGGAGACGTCAACCCCTAGACCCAAAAAGTTCCTAAATTCTAGTCATCCATCATCTGCATTAACATGCTAACCGTCATCACCGCTATGCTCAGCAGTTGCATAACGATGGTTATCGTTCATGCAACCTGAAACCCGAAACTCAAGGCCATCACCGTCATAGTCATCATCTTCACCGTCATCATGATCATCATCACCACCATCATGGTATTGTTTTTCTTCGTCATCTTCGTCTTCTTCTTCATCAGGTTCGGCTGTTTTTGCTGACGGCTACACGATGGTACCCGACTCGGGGCTGAGGGTCCTCCGGACTTCTTTGTAGCAATCGCAACACAAGCTTTAGGACTGTAGGGTGTGCGGATTGTGTTAAACCGTATTTCCTACAGCCAGATTGCGATTGTTGTGTGATTCCGTTCCACTGAGACACCATACTTCAGCAAACGGCGCACCAAGTCAGAGCTGCACCTCGAACTTGTTGGTTTAGGATCTCTGGTTTGGGATTCCATGGCTTAGCTGGAGCTTCAAGCTACGACGAAACTCGGCCTTCTCAAAACCTGCCGCCTCAATGGCCGATAATCGGAAATCGTGACTCTGAAGCATGCTCCGTCGGGACAACAGCCACTACAGACGGGCGAAAGCAAGTTCAGTCGCCGGCAGCTCGTTTAGGGTTGAGGCTTTAAGGTAGACCGCCCTGATCCTTGAACCCGAAATCGCCGAATCATTCGCCAAGGACTCCAGAAAGACCTTAGCCTGAAAGTTTTGAAGCTACACCTACATTTCACCATCGAAATGGGCACGCTGCAAACAAGTGACAAGCATGTGACAGAACACCGCACAGACTTTCACGTTTAGGGTCGTGGATTTGTGCCACATGCATTTGGCAGAAGTAGAGGGTTTAGGGTTTAGGGTTTAGGGCAAAGAGCCCGTGGGCTGTCTCGACATGTCTTGAGGGGTAAGGAGATAGATCCAGTCAGGACTACACACGTCGCACACGACAACTCTAAGCAACATGATTTTTCGTATCAGCAACAACAACAACGACAACAACAACATCAACAACAACGGTCAATTAATAATATACCTTTAGGTCTTAGAAACCTGTGAGTACTAATCATCTTAATGAGAAGAATAACAATAACTCTAACAATATCAAAACTCTCGCTACTATGAACAATAGCAATGAAGGAATAAAAACTAATTGCGGATCATCATCATCATAATAAAAATTAACGAACAGATACAGTGCCAGTAATAACGAAGTCGCTGCAATAGTAGGTGTCACAGACTGAGAGAACCCACTACCATGAATCGGCCACTAAACACCCCGACCTCCTCGCCTCCTGATTCCTAGACCTAGTTGCCAAGTGGCCGCCCAACAAACAGCGGTTCGTCCTTCATTATGTTCTGTCCTTTAGCTGATGTAACTTTGTAGCCATGTTCCTTCTGTCTTTGAAGTAATGTAACTTTGTCTCATGATGCTCTGTTTTTTAAAGGGAGCCCCTCAGGTACGACTACGGAACCTAGCACAAAACCGGGCAAGGCCTTCCAAAGCTGCGGCCCCCAACCCTGAAATTTTCGGGGCTCCGGGCTCTGGGCATATAGGACGCTGCATAGATAGAAACCCTAAACTCTCTAAACCCTAGACTCTAGAAGGTTTAGGGCTTGGGGCTTTGAGGTGATCGGATCTATGGAGCAGTGCTGCGGTTTGGGATTTTGGAGTTCGCTGTGTGTAGCTGCTGTAGCATTTTCAAGTTAACACCTCCACTCTAAGCTTCCGCCCGTTCGGACCAAACATCCGGCTTGAAAAGCACCGCTGTAGTCGAAACAACGCTAGTTTTTGCGGCGCATGCTTACGTCCTGCCTTTGCATACTTTTGTACGCTTGGGCACGAAAGATCTCACTCACAACTTGTGCGGACTGCCGTTTTCTTGGGCTTGCGTTTTCGGCTCAGGGTGTAGTTCAGGGTCTTGGGTGTCGGGTTTAGGGAGCTCTTGGCTGCAGCTTTAGTTCAGGCTTTTACACAAGTGTAAACCTACCAAATCGACGGCAAGGAGAAACCAAGTGAATGGCGAAGTGCGGCTTGCAAGCTGGTTGAGGCCTGATCAGATTGACATCTTTCAACACGATAGAAGCGTGCACGCATGAATCTTCCTCTCTCTCTCTCTCTCTCCCTCCCTCTTTCCCCGCTCCCTCACTCTAAGCAAAAGCGGCCATCTAGAACCTGACCTCAAAGTCCCGTTTCAGGCAGAAAACAACGGGTAGGGGGTGTAGGCGCATGGTGACCACTGTTACGACTAACGTTAATCTACGACAACTGCAACCTTTAATGAAACTTTAATGTCTTCCCGATGGCTCCGCTACCACGAACTACTGCAACTCTTCCGTGGTGCTACTAGGGGGCTGCCCTGCCCTGCCCTGCCCCTGCCATAGTACGGCAAACCCGAAGCCCTAAACCTCTAACCCTAAACCCTAA